GATCAACGAGTTTGAAAAGCCACCTGATGAGTCTATCAAATTAACTATAAGTGTAAGAACTTAAAGAATTTGAAATAATTGCAAAACAATTTGAAGCAAGAAAGGTATTCCACTGTGGTGGAATGTAGTCTGGATTCCCAGAGGCAGCTTTCCAGAGGGTAAAGAGACTATGGAGCTTGGAAAGTTTGGTTGGCAGAAAAAAGGGTTAAAATGATTTCTCTCAAGCAACTATTTAGACCTGTGAACATAGCAAAGGTACCTCTGAGATGTCTTCATCTCAGTTTTGTTTAAGGATTTGGAGATACCCATTTATCTTTCGGTCTGTTTATCTCTCATCTACCTATCTATCTAACTATCAGAACAAACCAGGATGAAGATTCCTTTCCCATTCTACATAATGTATTTGTATGGAATTAGTGAATAAACAATGCTTATTGTACTGTACTGAATTAGTGAATAAACAATGCTTATTGTACAGTACTGAAATTTTCTTTAACTTCTTCAACCACTATCAGCATTTGTAGAACCTGCTATGCATCTTTAAGGTTAAAAAAAGTGGTGAATACCAGCTTAAATGGCTGCCATGATTCAGAATGGTTTTCATTAGAAATGTTTCAGGTATTTAAAATTAAATTACTACAATAACAAATTAGTCATGCAGAATCTGGGCGGAATATTATCCAATGAGTGGCAAGGTGAACAACTTTTGCTTTGTGTTCCGTTGAATGACGAAGCTGAACACAAAGGTTCCTGGCTAAATCTTTCATCTGTTCAACCACTGTTCAGATTCTTAGAGCTGATAAAATCAAGGCAGTATCCTTATTTGTGGAAATGATTTGTAGATTTTTTTTTACATATTTAATAAAACTAAGATTTCCTTTTAAACGATGAAAACTGTTGGGGAAAAAAACCTATACACTATCTGCCTGCATCCCCATCCCCATCTATCTTTGTCTTATATCACTATTGTAATCTCTATATCATAATAAGCATAGTATCAATAGAGGTTATGGCCTCCTCTGATTCTCAGGCTGGCAGACTTTCTGCCTACAGTCTAGGCCAGGGGTAGGCAACCTCGGCTCTTTTATGACTCATGGACTTCAACTCCCAGAATTCCTGAGTCAGCATAGCTGACTCAGGAATTCTGGGAGTTGAAGTCCATGAGTCATAAAAGAGCCGAGGTTGCCTACCCCTGGTCTAGGCGGCAACAGGGACACCTACAAGTAATGTGGATGACTGAATGCAGGAGGCCATTGGTTCAGAGTCTGAGCCTGGCCTAGGGAGAATGCCAAGCCGTAAGTCAAGCTGCCACCTAAATAGGGATGAGCATCAGAAGTCAGCAGGTTTCCTTGAGAGGAAGCAGTATTAACTCTCTAACTAGGAACCATCACTCCCTTTGTCTAAATAACAGGGTGATCCAGACGCATTCACCAGGTTGGAAACAAGTTTCCTGCTTCTTGACTTGTGTTCCTCCAACATTAAAACAAAAAGACCAAAACACCTTATCACCAGCAAACAATTCCCATATGAGCAGAAATTAACACCAAGATTACTACTAGACCAACAATTAATAAGTAAACAATACTGCAATCAAGGAAGTACCAACTCTGACAAACAAACTAATAATAATAATAATAATAGTAAAGTTGGAAGGGACCTTGAAGGTCATCTAGTCCAACCCCCTGCTCAGGCAGGAAACCCTATACCATTTCGGACAAATGGCTGTCCAGTCTCTTCTTAAAAACTTCCAGTGTTGGAGCATTCACCGCTTCTGGAGGCAGGTAGTTCCACTGGTTAATTGTTCTCACTGTCAGGAAGTNGCTTTGGAAAATAGCTTGACTCCCTCTTCTTTATGGCAACCCCTGAGATATTGGAACACTGCTATCATGTCCCCCCTCGTCCTTCTCTTCATTAAACTAGACATACCCAATTCCAGCAGCCGTTCCTTATATGCTTTAGCCTCCAGTCCCCTAATCATCTTTGTTGCTCTTCTCTGCACTCTTTCTAAAGTCTCAACATAATAGAAAACAATGATCATATCAAAGAGCCACCAAGACTATTCTCACCAACATTGACAGGACAAGCCACTGGTATATAAAAAAGGAGTATCCCACACCTTACTAGCTTGATGATCTTACCTAGCTTGGTAATGAAACATCTTCAAGAAAATAACCAGAGTCAAGAGCATCAAGGACTACACAATTTAACCCTGAGCTACAAATATTCTCTTCTATTGCTAAATTACCAGCTCTTAACTCTTTGTCTTGGATATTGATGGAACATTTACAACATGCTGATAACAGATCTTGGGCCTATAATTGCCTTACTTGCATCAGTATTAAGGTATGGATAAGACAATAGGAGCATGAATCCTGTAATTAGTACTATCTTTAGCAACCAAAATGCCACAAGAGAATGCAAAATTTTGAATTTCCAATCTCTTTACCAGGCTACATATTATAATAGCAAGTGATGCAAGCAAGCCCCAAAATGTGGTGACATGTATCAGTTCAGAGTCAGTCCCAAGATGGAAGTTGTAGACTGAAAGTATCATTGTTGATAGTATTACAACTTTTGCTTGTATGCTAGCAAAATTTTCTTAATACACAATTATCCTTAATATCAGTCACTGCATCTGGATTTATCATATTATTAATTTGGCCATAGTATTAAAGGCACATGATATATTATGCATATTAAAAGCAATGTGTAGTTCAAATATAGATTTTTTAGGAATTTTGAGCTGTTAATGGCATTTATTTGTAGGTTCTTTGATTTTAAAGTTCAACTGCTGTAGCAAATATTTCTAACATTGTAACTAGTGAAAAATTAATAAAGGAGCACTATAACCTTGCTGGACAAATATCTTTAGGCTGACTGGAGAAAACTGGGGCAGAGAGGATGTAGAACTAGAACGATTAACAAATTTAATTATGTTCTTGTACGATGAAAAGCTACTTTTTCCTGTTTGGATAGTCACTGAATTCATATGTCAGGCTTCATCACGGATTCATATTTAATGCTCTAATCTAGGCATATCCAGATTCATATATCAGCAGTCATGTTTCATTTTGAATGGCCATTTAGTTATCTCCTGAGCTTTGAACCAAAAGGATTTGGGAGCTGAATATACCTTCCATTCATTTTGTGCATTTACTGAAATAGTCTCCTGTCTATAAAATCATTCTAACTCAGGCCATTCATTTTGTTGAGAATTTTTGAGAGAACTCCAAAGATTTCATTCCTTTGTTGTTGTTGTTAATTGCGAAGTCGTTTCCGACCCATCGCGAGCCCATGAACAACGTTCCTCCAGGTCTTCCTGTCCTCTACCATCTTCTGGAGTCCATTTAAGTTCATGCCTACTGCTTCAGTGACTCCATCCAGCCACCTCATTCTCTGTCATCCCTTTCTTCTATTGCCCTCAATCTTTCCTAGCATTAGGCCCTTCTCCAGTGAGTCCTTCCTTCTCATTAGGTGGCCAAAAGTATTTGAGTTTCAACTTCAGGATCTGGCCTTCTAAAGAGCAGTCGGGGTTGATCTCTTCTAGGACTGATCGGTTTGAACGCCTTGCAGTCCAAGGGACTCGCAGGAGTCTTCTCCAGCACCATAGTTCAAAGGCCTCAATTCTTTGTTGCTCAGCCTTTCTTATGGTCCAACTTTCACATCCATACATTGCAACTGGGAAAACCATGGCCTTGACTATACACACTTTTGTTGGCAGGGTGATGTCTCTGCTTTTTAGTATGCTGTCTAGATTTGCCATAGCTTTCCTATGGAGCAAGCGTCTTTTAATTTCTTGGCTGCAGTCCCCATCTGAGGTGATCTTGGAGCCCAGGAAAATAAAATCTGTCACTACCTCCATTTCTTCCCCATCTATTTGCCAGGAATTGAGAGGGCCGGATGCCATGATTTTGGTTTTCTTACTGTTGAGTTTCAAGCCAACTTTTGCACTCTCCTTCTTCACCCGCATCAAGAGGCTCTTTAGTTCCTCTTCACTTTCTGCCATTAGAGTGGTATCATCTGCATATCTTAGGTTGTTGATATTTCTCCCGGCAATCTTAATTCCAACTTTTGATTCATCTAGCCCTGTCTTTCTCATGATGTGCTCTGCATATAAGTTAAATAGGCAGGGCGACAGTATACAGCCTTGCCGGACTCCTTTCCCAATTTTGAACCAATCAGTGGTTCCGTGTCCAGTTCTCACTGTTGCTTCTTGACCTTAATTGACCTTAACTGCTGCTTAACCACAGTAGTTTCTGTGACCATATTTGTAATAACTGTATTTTAACACTTGTGAGCCACATGACAACATTTTGTTTCCAGACTCCCCCCCCCATTGCACTGCTGTAATTCACTACTGAACAATAGAATTACAGGGACACAAATTTTCACTTTTTGCATGAAATCAATAATATTAATAATATTAATTTGATACTCATTGTCTATTAGATCAGAAATAGATTTCTAAATGTTATGGGCATTAGGTATTAGAGCCTTTATAATCCAACTCATATAATAAATGTTAACTTACTTATTCATAACCTAATTTATCATCCAAAACTGCTTAATCAAACTATTTTGAGAAAGGATAGGGTGCAAACATGGCTGTTAACAGATTCATCTTTTACTCTCAGAGACTAGCCTTATGGGCAACAATGGTGTTACAAGCTGTTTTACCATGGACCAGGCACTAGAAAAAAATATTGCAAACAAATAGGATGTGGTTCTTAAATTATTTCAACAAATAAAATTGCACAACTGTCAGAACTATTTTTATTGGGACTTTCAATGTTCACAAATGCTTTGGATTTTCCTAAACCACAAATCAAACAAATAAGAAAGTGCTATGTTTGAAAATTAAAAACTCTACAGTTCCTGAAGAAATAGCTATTGCCAGAAGGAAACTTTGGAAAAATGTATTAAAAGAAATAAAGTTAAGGAAGTCTAAGAAGATAATGCCATAAATGTTAGAGCACTATACTATTTACATAGGTACTTACCAAGATCCTTAATGAGTGATAATGCTTCCCATGATACAAATGCTCCTCCACCATCATCCATCGCTCCCTGACCCACATCCCAGCTGTCCAGGTGTCCACTAATTAGTACAACCTAAAGAAATAAAAATATTTATCTGAAAATCTGAATTAGACAGTTCGTCCCAAGGATACCTATATAGGCTTATTCTTTTACCAGATGTAATTCTAGTAATGTGAACCACAATTATATCAATACTGTGATAGTGTAGTTGGAATGTGCATTGCGACCATCATTTTGTTCTAATGGTAAATTATGATAACCAAGGACTTCAAGTGCAAAAGAATATCTATCAACCTGTTGCTACTTTTAATATTTAAGGTTAGGTTCTACAGTCCTTGAGTTAGTGGGTATATATTGTGGAGGTTACTGACAAGAACAACTTAGTAATATATATCCAGTAAAATTGCTTTTATGGCTTTGTATGTTTTTATGTATTCTTTTGAATTATTTTTTTCTGGATGCTTGTCTTTTGTGTATTGTTCAGAGTCACAGGATTTGAGTTGGGCAACCATACAAAACTCAGAAGCAGTTCCTAGACATTTGTCTTGGTTTGGTCTGTTATGATAAGGCTTAGATTCTGGTGCAGACTCAAGATACAGCAAGGCTAAATAAAAATATTTATTGCATACCAGGATGGAGCCACTTAAAACAACTGACTTTCCTCAGTCACATGAAAGCGCAGTCCCTTCTAATACCACCGTAGTTTTAATTCCAGTGCTTCTTTATCAAATTTCCTTCCCAAGGCTTTTTGCCCTGCGTGCTTTGATCCTGAAATGGGCAACTGTTAGATGTTTATAAAAAACTGACATCTCTTTTCTGAGAAAATGTGGCTCTCAGTTCTTACAAATTTGACATTCTGAATGAAAGTCATGGATGATAAAAGAAGACAGCTGGCATGAAAACTTGCTCATTTACAAAAAGGCAAATGTAATAGCATTTCTGGTTTCCCAGAAGGCAAACTGATGAGATTCTTTTCAATCACCTAATTACATTTTTCAACTCTTTCATTCTTTAAGATTATACCTCTCTGGAATCAAAGGACATTCTTAAAAATAAAGCTGATTCAGAAGTTGGTGCTTTTCTGTCCCTTCTCTCCTATTTACACCAATGCGTGAAGATGACACAAACTGAGTGCCCAGAGAGGGCACGTTTTTACAAGACAATCTAGAGATTTGGATGATATTGCTGGAAGGATTTAATACACCTACAAATAAGTTAACTTTAACCCAGCCAAGATTATACTATTTCAGCATTTCATAACAACATTACCTATTCAATCCCACATAATGAGGGGGAGAAAAATCCAAGCAATAACTGCTATGTATGTTATCTGGCACAAGTGTAAATTGCTTAAGTTGTTTCATCAAACACAGATGTCAGAAAATGCACATAGGTCTTGCAATGAATTATAGGTTAGTTTATAAATGAAAAGAAAAACATATATTTAAATGAGGAGCAATGCCTTCTTAGCAACAGTGAAAGATTGCCCTACTAACACAGCATGATGTTCTCTGGCAACCAAAGTGGCATAAGTATTGCCTGATAGAGAATTTTTTTTTTGTTCCTAGGAAAGAAGTCACACTACTCAGTAGGCAATTTTGAATCAGAAAGTGGTGTGATCTGCCGTGGGATTAGACATGTGTGCTTACAGATTTCAAAATGTTGTTTCCAAGTGCAGTTCTAGCAGATTGAGAAATAAAAGAGAAGAAGCTGCATTTTTCAGGTTAGGCCACTTGTCTTTCTAGCAGCAACCCTCTCTGCTTTGACGACAATCCCTCTAGAGTAGTATTTCTCAATCTTGGCAGGTTTCAGATGAGTGGACTGCAACTTCCATAATTCTCCAGCCAACCTGCTGGCTGTGGAATTCTGGGAGTTAGAGTCCAAACATCTGAAAGCTGCCAAGGTTGAGAAACGCTGACCTAGGTATAATGGTTTCCATGTTCCATGCTGAAGCAAATCAAGAGACATTCAACAATGAGTAGAACAGTTGTGGTATTCTATAGAAGTGTTCCTATTTGTTAGTTTTCCAGATTTTCCACTATATGAGAGAGATATTTTATTGACCCATGATTTTTCTATCAATGATCCATTCTGTGGTGCCGAGGATTCTGTAAAAGCTTTTAAGGATCACAATTAAATATATCAATAACAAATACAGCAGGTAAGCACACAAACTTTGTATAAAATGTTTCCATATCGTTGAGTTTTCTCTTTGAAGAACTCTAGGGAACTAAGAAATATATATTTATTTCCTTACTTCTTTATTAGTTTTGCCATTCCAATATCTTCTCTGAGCAGATACATAATGTATTCAACAATATTATGGATCAACAAAGGAGAAATTTTAAAACAGCGATTCTCAGACTGAAATTCTAAACACCTCAGTAGAGAAGGATGTCAGGCATTTCTTTGCCTGACATCAAAGATAAAAAAAATGTGACAGTTGAGTGAGCTTCTTTGTAGCCCCTTTTACAAGCAGACATGGGAAATAAGATGAGGTTTTTTTTAAAAAAATAGCTATCAACCTCTCTGGAGAACATTTTACAGAACCCGACAGGCAGATATGGGAACAAGGATTAATGTAGATATGGCTGATCAGATCAACAGGGATTTGAGATAATGCAACTGCAGAAGAACTAATAACATGGAATTCAGTCAGAAACTTAACTTCTCTGAGCTTTGGGTTAAGTGATTTTCCCATGTCTTCAAAGATACCTTTCTGAATAGTGCAAGGGAGCCAATAATCCAAAACTCTACAATAATTTGTGGTCTGACATTATTAAAACTCACAAATGAAGGCAAATATACGTGTCCCAGGATAATGTTGCAAGATCCAATCTGGATCGGTCACTAGGAACAGACGTTTTGTCTTCTGAGTTCTCAGACTTCTGCTAGACAGAAATTCCCTGAAGATGGGCTCTAGCACCAGTCTGAAAGCTCAGAAGACAAAATCTCCGGTCCTCGTGACCAACCCAGATTGGATCCTGCGTTATTAAAACTTTTTAAAGCTTATATTATTTAAGAGTTAATAGTATGATAATGTCCAAACTTATCTTGGGATTCTTCTTCGCTAAAAAAGATGAGACCGATCAAGTAGACCTAACAAACAAAAGGTTCATGCAAGTACTCTAATATAAAGCTTCGGTCAATACTAAGTAGACAGGTCACAGGCTAAAAAGTGACAGAAAAATGTCAGAAACCAAAAGCAAAATGACTGTATATGCAAATGTATTGTCCAAAGTTAGGAGATACACAATGATCCACAGACTGTTGGAAGACAACAAGCTCTGTTTAGAAAATCTATAAAAAGGTTATAAAGTAATAACACGATATCTTCTTGGTCCTCAGATGGAAATCATGTCTATTTCTGTCAAATCTACACTATTAATGAGACTAACCAGAGCTTGTGCTTTTTAAAAACATAACATGATTTTAATTTCCCTTCCAAATAATGATGTGTTCCTTTCAAGCAGCAATTTTTGCAAGTTACAATGATGCCAAAAATAACAACATATGAACAGGGATGTCCTCATACAAATGCTTCCATTTACATATTTTTTCCCATCATATGAGGCAAGTAGGTCAATCACAGCCTATGATGTCATCACACATCTTTTGTCATTTGATGCCCTTTTCCCACAGACACCCACGTTGCTTTTGAAGAGGAAGCTGGCACAGAAAAAAGTAATAGTTATTTTCCTTTACAGTTAATTCAGAAATAGAATGTATTTCTTGTAATAAAAATGATGCAGTCTACCAACATGTGCATTTTTAAGCCATCTGTGGAAAAAGTATAAAAACTGCTACCTCAGAGGTGGTGGTTGTGGATTATTCAGCACATGATTTATATTCTACTCTTAAGTTGAATGGATTCATAACAATTTTAGGGTGGTTTTGAGAAAGCCCATTTCCCCTATAAATAAAGAACATGAATATTGTTCAAGGAAAGGTGTCCTCTTATACATATGTGTGTAAGTAGCGGCATATATTTGCATATTATGCCTATGCTAGTAAAATCAACACTATTTCTTTCCAGTCTCCTGGACAGCAACTATCCAGACTTATTCTAAATAGGCAAGTGAAACCTATAAGAAGGTTGACTGAATAGGTTTACCAGATCCAAGTCTCTATAGCAGTGCTTCTCAGAGGGCAATGCTGTGTAGAAATCCACCAGGTGGTCCACTACAACATCCCCACACTCATTGGCCAGAGTCCCCTTAGTACCTAATCTTTGACTATTTATGTTACCAACAAATAGACTTGTCAAAGTCAGTTTATGATCTTAGCTTTATCAAGCAATAAGAAGATGGAAAAGCCTACATAGATATAACTATACCAATTATTTTTGTCAAAAGAAACGTGAATGCCTATAGTCTTAAAAGCAAAGGAAAGAGGTGCTTTGGGTGAACCCAACATTTTTCAAAATTTTGGAGCTCCCCTAATATAAAAGTACAATGTTCCAGACAGAAATTGAGCTGACTGGTGATGGAGGGAGAGTGGGACAGAGTCATATTCTTTTCCCTGAACTTTCTCCTGACTTCTCTTTCTTAACATCCATCAGCTCTCAAACCAGACTATAACCTGAATCTGCCTTAGGCCATCCTGGGCATCTTATCCTGTGTTTTAATTGGATTTTTAAAACTATTGTTTATTTTTGTCTTTGAACTTTAGCAAACCTTGATTTAGGCCATTTCTGCAACGGTGGCAAACACAGATTGAATGAGGTCTGCCTATGTCTTGCTTATCCACAAGCTTTCTGGTCTGCCTTGGGTGTGCTCTAGACAGAACCAAATACTCTCTCTTTCTCCAAAAGCCTGAGCTTGAAGTCCTCCTGAGAATAGGCCTATAAGTCATTAAATCTAATACCCTTTCCATCCCTTTGAAAGCACTAGTTGTGAGTGAGCAATTGTTAACATATATTTTAGGCAATGGTCACTTCCTTTTATAGTGCAGAACGTCTACATAGTGATTGATCCCCCTTTCCCCACCCCTTGTCCACTGTTCACCAATCCAGCATGTTCATTTTGTTTTGGGAAAACAGTCTGCACCTTCGGAATGTCCCCATCGCACGG